TATTTCTTATTTTGGTAAGATTAATCTGTCATTTACTATATAAATTGAGACTATCGACTGATATGAATCACTGACCCGTTTGTCCTTCTGGCAAACATCAGTTCAAAGGGTAAGGGAACCAGGCTCCAACCTGACTAAATTGAAGATGGATTTCGAGTGATATGAATCACATGTATAGGGTCTTCCAACAGGGAATTCTGAACTTTGACAATTGATAACGGTCGTCTTGTTGAAGCTATATCTGTCAAATTAGTTGTCATCCATACAGTCTGTTTAGCCAAATCACCACGGACGGATATAGCATTCAACATCACGTGCAAATAATAAAATTGTTTGTTTGAAGATGGTTGACAATGTTTCGTGGAGCATTTCATCAGTTCGGACTTCCATTGTCTAATATTATATAAAAGATTCCAAAGCAAGTTACTTCACGACTTTTCGATTGTTAGTATCCACAATCGTCTTCGGGTGATAACTGGACATATTCCCCTGCTCATCGTCTTGATTTCAGGGAGCCCAGCTCCCTTACCCTTTTGGCTGATTTTTATCGAAGAAGGACAAATGAGTTCATGACTGAGGGGATATTGGCAGTATGAAGTCCTCAGACATCAGTACCACCCTTCACGGGGTACCTCTACCTGGCTGGGGGGGATGATGGATGAAAAATATCTATTCGTCCTTTAACGGGGGATATGAGAGCCTCATTCGACAGAGTGTCGAGGCCTTCTATATCTGTATAGCTTCCCTAACTAACGGATTTTCGTGAGTTTCCGCGCTATCAAAAACTCGCCCATTCCTCGAATGAATGGACTGCCGAATAGAAGGCAGCTGCAAATCTCTGCGAATGGCTTCATTCCGCACGAACCAAGGAGCATTCACAATTATCCTCATTAACTTTTTTTGCAATATCTCCAGAATGGAGATATTATACGTTGCCGCTTGTCCCCAAACATGATGACAGGCTTGAACATCGTATTGTAGATGGTAATTTTGTTCTTTAAACTCATTTTTGATTTACTGTTGATCAGAGGGTACACACTAGCTCTCCGACCCTCGATCTTTGATTTAACGCACATAATGTGCGGTCTATTAGAAGGCCGTGCTTGCCAGTCAATCACCCTTCCAGAGATTCTCACTTTTCTGGCCGGAGAAGATAGTAATCTTCCCATAGTTATCGCCTGAGTCTTGTTCGGGTTCACTCGGATCTTCCAATCGTGTACCAGCGCTCGAGGTCGTCCAATGCACGTTGCATATAGACGATGCCAAGCTCCCGACCCATGGAAGACGAGAGGAGAGCCGTGCCATCGGCGTATAGGGATATCTTCACACGCTCGGGCCTCGGAAGGTCACTGGTGTAAAGTGATGGACTTATTCCTTCGAGATCTGACTATTCATAGGTTATTCGACTGCGTTCACCTATTTCCTCTTTCCTTTCTCTGCTTCATTAATTTTTAGCAGGAGCTAACCATTTGGCGAGAGTTGGTCGTGTTCCCCTTGATTAGAGTTTTCCATATGCTACGTATCTCTACGCTAGCTTGACTAAATGCGTTGTTGAACAACATATGCGGCTTATTTGAATTTTCTCCTAAACCATTGTTTCTCCTTGTGGACGATTTCAGCCTGAGCCCACTTGATATTATGTTGATGAGTCCAAACATGCTCTGCTATTTCGAATTTGCTAGTTTCTCCTCGCTGTGTGTGTGTTTCTTGTGCTCGGCAATGCGAACTTTCACAATTCACAATGGAGAAGGACGTACATAACGAATTGGCATTCTTAGACGTATTGGTGAAGAGAACCGATACTAAATGGGAAACATCTGCATATCGAAAACCCACTCACACGGGACAGTATCTGAACCAGGTATCCAACCACCATCAGTCGACTAAGAGAGGAATCATCAAGACTCTACTAGACCGTGCTTTCGGGCTCTGCAATACAAAGGAAGGTCTCGAAAAGGCATCATCAAAAATGACCTTCAATGGAATGGTTACTCCAGAGTGATGGTGGAACAGGCTTTAGCTAAAAGACAGCAAGAGCTCCACAAGGAAGAGAAGCCGCCACAACCAGTATTTGTACTTCCCTACATCAGAGGATTGCCGGAAAGGATAAGAAGGATTGGATCCAAGTATAACATCAGAACCTGCTTCCGATCTGGGAACACTATCCGTAACAGTCTCACGAAAACCAGGCCACCAAACGCAGACTACGATTCCAAGAATTGCATTAAACATCGGCGAGAAGAAACCAGCAAATCCGAAATAGCAGAGCATGTTTGGACTCATCAACATAACATCAAGTGGGCTCAGGCTGAAATCATCCACAAGGAGGAAAACTACTTTAGGAGAATATTTAAAGAAGTCGCATATATGTTATCCAACAACGCATTCAGCCAAGCTAGCGTAGGGATACGTAACATTGTAAACCTCTAATCAAGCGGAACACGACCAACTCCTGCCAAACGGTCAGCTCCCGCTAAAAACTAATGAAGCGTAGAGAAGAAAGAGGGGATAGGTGAAAGCAGTCGAATGACCTATAAATAGTCAGATCTCGAAGGAATAAGTCCAGTTATCACCCGAAGACGAATGTGGATACTAACAATCGAAACATCGATAAGTAACTTGGTTTGAAATCTTTTAATTTTATATTTTCAATTTCAATTTCTTGTTAATAATTTCCTGATTTACGTTATTTCATTGTAATTTCAGTTTTTTGCTTGATAAAATTGTTTTTTGTTTCTACAGATTCTTTCAGGGATTTCAAATCAATTTATATCATATTAGACAATGGAAGTCCGAACTGATGAAATAAAATTGTTGTATCAAAATGGGTGACTGTTCGGGCAACGAACCGCGCGCTTATCACCATAATCGACGCACTGAGAGGACTATTCGCAATATGGTGGATAAATTTGAATCCACTGGTTCAATAAACGATTGACTAACACCCGTATGTCGACGAAACGCCAAATCTATCGGAAACATCGCCGCTGTCCGTGAGAATGTGCGGGAGAATCCGAGACAGTTGATTTCGCGTCGCTCACAAGAACTCGGACTTTTGCAGACCACAACTTGGTGAATTTTGCGTCATACCTTGGGCCTGCACCCGTACAAAATTCAAATGACCCAGGAACTGAGGGTGAACGACCATTGACAACAATGTGTATTATCTGAATATGCTCTTAAGCACTTGGCAACTGATCCTAAATTTCATCGAAAATCATCTCCAGCGATGAGGCTTATTTCTGGATGAATGGGTTCTTCAATAAACACAATTGACGAATTTGGGAAGATCCCAATCCACATGAGATCCAAACCCTTCCAATGCATCCCGAAAAAGTCACTGATTGTTGTGGATTTTGGGCTGGCGGGGTCATCGGTCCATATTTCTTTGAGAACGACGTTGGCCAGGCCATAACTGTCAACGGTGAGCACTATAGGTGGATGATTACCAATTTCTTCTGGTCTTAGTTGGATACCAACGACAGGATGGTTTCAGGATGGCGCTACGTGCCAGACAGCTCATGCTACATTGGATATTCTGCACAAGCGATTTGGGGGCTTGGTCATCTCACGTAGAGGTGATGTGAACTTGCCACCGAGATCGTGCAGGTGAATTCAAATAAGTCTCAAACCACAGTGGTCCTCAAAGCCAACATAACACATGCCATGTATGGATCTCTCCTCTATACAGTATTTCTGTCAGAGAATTGATTCGTGGGATTCTCTTTCCTGCTTGTGGCTTTGTTCGCGAGATGGATCTGTTACTAGTTAACAATCTTTCTCATAGACGGAGATTTCATACATGCAGTGAATCCGCGTTGAAATTAATCGATTGCGAAACACACTTATGTTTGAGTCGGATCTTTCATGGACTGATGAGAGATAATACCTCGTAACTGGTCTGTAGTTGATCTACTTGACTGATTTCAGCAACCAGAAATTCAGGCGATAATTTATCCAACTTGTCAGTAATATTATCTGTTTAAAAAAATCTGTTTAAAATATTTTTTTTCGTTAACAACCCTACGAACGACAACCCTCAGGAGTCGAAACTTGTGACAGATAAGGATTAACGAGGTCTTACTTACTGTCTGTAAGAATGTGCAAGAGAATCAAATTTTGGACTGGCGGCGTCATAGGTCCATATTTCTTTGAGAATGACGTTGCCCAGGCCATCACTGTCCACGGCGAGCACTATAGGTCGATGATTACCAACTTCTTTTGCCATGAATTGGATGATCTGAATACCAACGATATGTGGTTTCAACATATATATGATGGAATTGGCCGATACCTGACGAAAATCTATAGCTAACGTATTCAAAAAACCCTTTATTGTAATATTTTCACTGAATAGTTTTACAAAAACGCAACACGTGTTTCGCCATACAATGTCTTCACTGAAGACCTGCCCGAAGAAGCCATTGTATGGCGAAAATTTCACAATGAAGTTTTTTTTGAATACGTTAATATTGTCGTGTTATCATAGCGATTATGTGTTCAGTTGGAAATGAAATACTTAAAAAATACCATTTAACACGTTACCAAATTTTGTCAATCATCAATCCTGATAGTTTCACCTATGAACTGTTTCTGCCCGTTTCAATTATCCAAAATGAATTGATAACAATTCTCCGACTGTTTGAATAATTTGTGTCAATTACATTTTTTATTCTGATGCAAACAGTAATGTGATTCAAACAGTTTTTCCAAACCACAACCATATCACTTCCTCCCGACACGTGTTGCTCTAATAAAGTTAACACCATCAAGCTAAGAGTCATCGCACAAGTCACTTTCTGATGATGGTTAGCAGTACTCGCGTCAAGAAACAGTGAGTCAATTCTGGTATGAAAAAAGTAATTGCCTTGAATTCATTCCACGTCTGAGATTCCAATTCCACCTATCAAGTTGAATAACGTTTCTTCATTGGTTGATTACATTAGATTAGGCCATTCCTATGAAAATAATAAATGCATTCAATTTCATCTTTCCAGAAACATCAAACCGTCCAACAACCACAATACTTCCATTAACTACTCAATTGGCCTCGCTGCCAACAAAAAATCTTCCACGAATGCCAATCAAACAGCACAAAACAACATCTACTGTGATAAGGAAAACTTCTGTTTCACTGTCTCTACCAACTGAATCATTATCAAACATTGAGGAGACCACAACTATGAAAATACAGAGAAGAAGGAAACCAACTTCGAGTAAATTAAACAAGTCCACATCAAAATCAAAAAGAAGAAGTAAGCCTACGAAACCTGCCAATATAAACACAAAAAACACCCTTTCATCTTCCACTCAAAGATTTAGTGAGTACTCAATCTCTAAAAAGAAAACTGGGTCATCTACTGAGTCATATTCGAGTTCCAAGAAACCATCAAAAAGGAGAAGAAAGAAAAAACCACAAAAGTTTTCAACAACAACAACACTGCAACCAGTTGTTCACTTAAGACCATTTAAAACCAGTATCCAACAGCTGACCCCATCAGAACCACCAAAAGTTACAAAATCTGGTCTCTTGACAACAATGCCAGAAAAGAAAAAGTCCACGGAGAAGTTTTTAAATTCATCATTCACAAATATATCAACAGCTCAATTCCAGCCTTCTACAAAAAAGCCTTCAAAAAAATTGAAGAAAAAGACGAAACAACGCAAGTCAACGAAAAATTCAACTGTAACAGTTACCTCTAAATCAATACCTCAACTACTAGGAACAACACAATCAGTTTCAACTACTACTTATAAACAAATACCGACCTATGAAGAGTCTTTAAGTCACTTGTATGTCACAAAAAAGTCCCCATCATTAAAACTTCCAACAACTTGGATGACCTTCAACTCACCACTAATCTCAGAAAATCCACAAGTTCAATCACCACCAACAACAATAACAGCATTGGATGCTCCATTCCCATGTCCATATTATCTGAATAGACTATTTTCACGAAGTACCTCAACAACGACAACAACTACAGGTGAGTGTTGCATAGGAAACGTGTGATTTCTGTTTATGATGCGATATGTTCTAACTGGCCCGTGGGTTGGGCTATATATCGGGCGCGTCCCCAGGTGGGGGATAGGGGAATGGCCAGGGGAATGAGGCCCCTGTCTGGGAAGCCAATGTGGCCTTACGGACGGGATCACCTGACTCCTGGTCAGTGGCAGAAATAAGTAGGGTGGGGAGAACTGACACTTTCCAAAAACCACTACGAAACATGCCACCCCAGATCAGCCTACCCAAGCTAAGGTGTAAGGTTTCGTCCGGTTCCCCTTGGGGAACCGGACGAAACCTCATTGTAATCAGCCTTCCTCTGGTAACGCAGGGCTTTGCCAGAGATGACCAACTCTTCCTTTGCTACTCGTGGGAACACACATTTACCCAACAAAATAAAACAAACAATCCGGAGGCTGGACAGCAATGCTCACCTCAATCTATGGCGGTGGCTGAGAATGAACAGAAATGTAGGCGAGTCTTGGCCTACACCTGCCGATATAAAGGAGATGTCTCCAAATGACCTGTCCACCTTCCTGGAAAGGACAGGATAGACGATGACCTAGGAGGACAACTCCTCGGGAGGATGTACAATGGGTCACATGTGGCCTAAGTGCTGTGGGCTTACACTCACCCTCCCTACTCTACAGATACAGAAATGTACGAACTGACGCATGTATCCATGCAGTTTATTCAATGTTGTATACAACAAAATCATTTACCACGAATCTCTATGAAACTTTTCTGGATGCGCGTTCCACCAAACAAGTTAGTTTCATCAGATTGGTTGAATAATCTGAACTGCTTTTTCATCCATGCATCGAAAAAAGTTTCACAGTTCTGATAAGTGTTTTTCCGAAATCATACTACACTAGAAATTCCTATTCTACCTTTCTTTACGATTGAGGTGTTTGTCTTTGTCAATTCTTGTTGGCGAGGAATTAATTGTGTAACAGTAGCAAAAGTCGGTGCCTTGCCAAGAAAAATGAGCCTGCTGGAATTTTTGGATTATTTTTGTCAATTCCGATATATGAGAAATATCTAACTATGAGTTACCTACTTCGCTTATAATAAGTAGGGAAACATTTCTATATATGTAGAATTAGACATTCGTGACAGTAAACACTGTATATTCAAAATGAAAAAATTTTTTTCACCCCTGTTGCCTCTGTTATTAACTGAGTGGAATATGGGGAATTCATTTTTTCTTTCTGAAAACTATTTCTGTGTTCCTCCATGCATGTTTGAACGTTCTTTTAGTTTGACCTATATAAAACATTGGACATGACCGATGTTTCCGTGTGATTCCTGATTGTTACTTCTTTTCAAGATAGTACAGAGCACGATGGAACTTACATTTGGGTTATTTGATAAATCAACCGTACTGATCAAAAATTAAATGACGAACAAAATACTACTGATAATTTGTCATCTAACGTCTATGATGACCTATAAAGGGATGCAAAAATATGCAATGAAAAATTATACTGAAGTTTGAATCTTCTCAATTTTGTAAGCATCAAGTGATGTTGACTTTCAGAAAATGATTGCTTGCAATCACATCAACACAACTGAAAACTGAAAATATGTCATCACTTCATTTACATTTTACTTTCGCAAACAATGCCCAACACCTTTCAATCAATCATTATTTTCAAAGCTTTCAATATCATATTAATTTATTTTGCAGCCAGTCCCACTCCTCCCAGTTCATGCAAATCGACAGGAAAGTATCCATCCCAAAACTGTCATGAGTACTTTGAGTGTCTGAAAGTTATGTGGTGGTACAGACTCATGATTCTGAAATGCAAGAAAGGAGAAGGTTTCGACGCCACTTTATTGCAATGCATACCTGATGAGACTTGTGTGTGACGAATATGAACATTAAATAGTTTATTAATAAATGTTTTTCATATTACGATTTCCACATGACAGTTTTTTATATGGTAGTGTGAAGGGTTTCAAGTGTATATTGGGGTTAGCTGGTCAAAGAGCAAGTGGACGATGGATCTATCGGAAAGGTTGTTGAATTGGGGGGGGGAAGTTTTAAAATTGTATCTTCATCCACTTCATTCTTGCCGACGTTTGATTGAATTCTTCTTCAGAGCTCTGAGCTTTTGAGCGAAATGATACATATCCTCAAATGCGATTGTGTTAACACTAGAAGAGATGTAGATGGCTTTAATACTGCTTATTTCAATTTGATACGTAAAATATTTCCCTTTTTTCATTCCTTTTTTTGCCATTGATCAAAAAACAGACACCACCTTATCAGAATCACAGAAAAATCAATTCGTGGGTTTCATGTCGTTTTGTGTTGGTGTTATCTCGAAAATTTGTTGTTGCAATGTTTTTTATTTTTATTTTATAAAAATTCCATTTTCAGATGATTTAACAATAAGCTTCGCACGGACTGGTTATTAGTCATATTATTAATTATCTAAATTATCGCTAACAGAATTTATCACTTTACACATGGTATGGATCGGAGAATTCTCCAGAACATTTGTGCGAGATGTTTTTGTACAGAAAGTACTCGGGTGTCTGGAACAAACTCTAGGAATGCAAATATTAAACTTCTCCAGTAATGTTGGGCAGTCAACTATGCTTTTAATAATATCATAGGTTATTGCAACACTATAATATTTACGCATTTTTTCGAGACTGCAAAAGTTATGCTTTTGTAGCAATTCAGAGTGGGTTATTCCTATTGGAGGATAAATGTCATCGGTTTTTAGGGTTAGCAGTTTTAAAAATCGTCGTTGAATTGCTTCTATCCTATCAATGTGATATTGATAAAAGGAGCTCCACACAACTGACGCGTATTCTAACTTTGATCTTATGAAAGCATAGAATGAAGTTTTTAAGGTCGAAGTTTCTTTAAAATCACTACTGTTACGTGCAATTAATATGTACAAACAAAAGGAGGAGGTTACAACATTATCGATATGCCTATTAAATTATAGTGCAGTGTCAAATGTGACGACAAGATCAGTAAATGTTTTTGGTCTCACCAGGAAAACATTTTCTATTGAATAATCAAAGATCAAGATATCCGTTTTCAAACTGTAGGACATAACCTTACATTTATCCGGGTTCAGTGACAAGTTATTTCGATAACACCATTCTACAACCCGTCCTACGTTTGATGAGAGGTTTCACACAATTATCTATGTTCTCAACGAGGCAGTATAGTTTTAGATCATCGGCATATAAAAGGAAATATACATCTATAACATCTGCAATATCATTATTGAATATATTGAAGAGCAATAGTCCCAGATTTAAACCTTGTAGAACACCGGAAGAAGCACTATATTCGGTAGATTTGAAACCATTGAGCTGAACATATTGTTTTCGATCCCGTAGATAGGACTGGAAGAGTGCGAAGGATGGAGATAATCCAAAGGTTACTAGTTTGTTCAGTAGAATGCCATGGTCAAGCCTGTCGAAGGCCTTAGAAAAGTATGTGTAAATAACATCAGTTTGGGCCTTATTGCCAATAGATTCAGCAATATGTTGGGTTACAGTCAGAAGATTGGTGACTGTTGAACGATTTTTCATAAAACCGTGTTGGTTTATACTTATATTGCAACTAAATAATAGAGATAGGCCGATAATTTGAAATATCTCCTTTCTTGAAAATAGGACAGACTTTTCATGATTTCCGGATCCTTGGTATTGTAGCCGATCTTGAGCAGATATTAATTAGGATAGATAGAGGACGAGCAAGCACAAGTGCACAATCTTTTAGGATGAAAGCTGGAATGTCATCTGGACCAGTGGTCTTTTTACGCTTGAGCGACCTTAGTGCCTCGTATACTTAGTTTTCACTGAAGCTTGATAAATCAAGAAAGTGATTATTATCAATATCAGAGTTTGGTTAAAAAGGGGAAGAAGCAGTATACGATTGTTTGAATAGATTGGCAAAACCGTTTACGATATTAGAGGGACCCTCCAGCAATTGACCTTCAAAATTCAGTACTTGTGATATTTTGGAGCTACCTCGTTTATTATTTATAAATGATCAAAATCTGTTGGGATTGATATGTATTTCTTCCTCAGTTTCACCTAAGAATTTTTTATATGCCACATAAACATCATGCTTTATTTTTCTCCAAAATGTTTGAAATCTTCAAGAGCCTGCAGATTACACTCACGCTTGTATTTGCGCCAGATTCTGCTTTTAGCCTGTATTCAATAGTTTACCACTTTATATTCAAAGATCCAACTCGTTTGTCCATTCACACACTTTTTGAAAATAATTTCAATTGATGATATGATTGTTTGAAGGTGATTGACAATGTTTTATGATGAATTCAATTAATCAGGACTTCCATTGTCTAATAATATATAAAATTATTTGAAATCCCCGAAAGTAACAATACGAATGAAAAATCAAAAAGGACCTTGAAATAAAATTAGAGTGAAATAAAATACAAGTAAAAAATTAAACAATTAGACAAAAAATAAAAAATTAAGAATTTCCAAACCAAGTTACTTCACGACGTTTCCATTGTTAGTATCCACAATCGTCTTCGGGTGATGACAGGACTAATTCCTCCCAGAGATGACTATTTATGGGTCATTTGAGTACTTTCACTTATCTCCTCTTTCCGCTTCACCGGTTTAGCGGGAGATGACACTTTGGCGACAGTTGGCTATTTTTCGCTTGAGTATGGGTTTCTATATGTTGCGTATCTCTACGCTAGCTTGGCTAAATACATTGTTGGACAACATATATGCGGCTTCTTTGAATTTCATCCTAAACCAGTGTTCTTTCCTGTGTATGATCACAACTTGGATGTTATATTGATGAGTCCAAACATGCTCTGCTATTCCTGATATGCTGCTTTCCCCCCGCTGTGTATTTTTCTTGTGCACGGCAATGCGAACGTTCAATAGCCTCTCAGTTTCACCGATATAGGATTTTCCGCACTCACAGGGTATCCGGTAAATGCAATTCTTGGATTCGCAGTGCGCGTTAGGTGACTTGGTTTTCGTGAGGTTGCCGGATAGTGTTTTCAAATCTGATGTTGTACTTGGACCCAATTCATCTTATCTTTTCCGATAATCCTCTGATGTAGGGAAGTGCAAGCACTGTTTGTGATGACTTCTCTTCATTGCGAGGCTCTTGCTGTCTTTTATCCAAAACCTGTTCCACCATCGCTTTGGAGTAGCTATTTCGTTGAAGATCATTTTTGATGATGCCTAGTTCCTTCTCGAGACCTTCCTCCGTATTACAGAGCCCGAAAGCACGGTCTAAAGAGTCTTGATGATTCCTCTTTTAGTCGATTGATGGTGATTGGATTTGTGGTATCGAGTGAGTGAGTTTTCGGTATACAGATGTTTTCCACCTAGTGTCGGCCCTCTTCACCCGTACGTCTAAGAATGGCAATTCGTTGTAGATTTCCTTCTCTATTGTGGAAAGTGATGGAAGGTCTTACGCTCTTGATGTGTTTTAGGAAGGCGTCTAGTTCAGTATTCCCATGGTTCCATATTACGAAGGTGTGGTCAACGTATCTCAACCAGACTCGGGGTTTCTTGTGGGCTTCTTCAATGGCCAGAGTTTCAAACCACTGCATATATATGTTGGCTTCAACTGGTGAAAGTGGAGATTCCATTGGCAGTACCTCATCTTGTGTGAAGAATTCATCCTTCAGTTGGAAATAACAGTTTCGTACGCAGCATCCTAGTAATTCCATAAATACTTCCAATGGTAAATTCGTTGTACTTTCAGGTCCCTGTCGAAAAATGGATAGCTTCGGAGGCCACACATTATGTCTTTGGGAAAAGTGAGTATGAGTTTCGCGAAAAACTTGAGGATTTTCATCGGACCAATACCTCACATGTTGTCTATGCACGTGACCGTTTTAAAAAAAGTAGCCTCATCACTGAAACAAAAGTGTTTCAAATAGCTGGTATTTTGCAAAATATTGTTAGAGACAAATTCACAATATTCTAGACGGCGGTCTGGACCATCGTCCGTCAGTTCATGCACAATTTTTTTCAGAACTCACAATACCGTCATCTGCGAAACTTCACACAATTCAAGACATCAGTTCTACTCGATGAGGACGGATTATTTACAAACTTGCTCATAATTTCTACTTGTTTATCTTCCCCTGTAGTTGATCGCCCAGAACGTGTTTTATTTTGCACACTGCCGTTCTCATAAAAGTATTCAACTGTTTGAAATAATGTCTATCATTTCATTTAACGCACGTGGTGCAACTATTGTTTGTACATGAATAGCAAGCACAACTAACAGCGAGAATACACTGATATCAGTGTATTCAAGCTGTATTCTATAGGTACACTGATATCAGTGTACCAGTATAGTGATATCAGTTTCTTATATTGTTCATTCATCCTCCTACATCCAAAAACACCTACAAAAACGTGCAGTTAATATCTACGCAAATGACAAATACGTCTCACTTGACGTCTGACGTCTTTCAATTTATTAGCACGGTTGCGAATAATAAGAATAAAACCCCCTTTCAAATGAACTATCACTCACCACCCCATTCTATTTGAATTTTTCGACAGGGTTGCTCTCCTGCATTAAGAATGAAATTAGGCGATTTTCCTTAAAGAAGTTAGATAGAGGATGTAGTACTTATGATACGCACTGTATATGATCAATGTTGAATTAATTGGTCATGTGATAACTTACACATTACTGGTATCCGGTCTGAGAATGAAGACTACTACTCAATCATACCACAATTATATGCATTATTTCCCACCTATTGTCGTTAGTAAATAGGTACTACTCATTGTTAATACAGTGAATTTCTTTAATTTCCCCGCCCCCTTTTATTATTTGAACCACTCAACTCAAAAACTTAATTTGGGATAAGGAAATTAATATATGAATACTTTATTTTGAAATGAAATTGACAGATGAAACTTTCAAGATGGCGACTGGGCCCCATCTAGGAGAAAAATTAAATAGAAAGGGGAGTCTTGTGACACATCATTTTGGAGCTCATGACTAATACTTCACAACCTCAGAACATGAAGTCAATACATTTAATAATTTCCTGAAGACAAACACATTAGTATCGATATTTCTAGAAATATTCCTTTTTATCTGCCATATGGCAATTCCAACAACCCGATAAGGTTTATTAAGTTATTTTTCGTTTATAATAACGACAAAAAATGTCAGTACGACAATGAGCATCATTGTTCAGTTAGAATATTCTCATTTAGTTTTCGATTTCACTAGTAGAAAGGTACCACGTCAACAATCTCTGATATGGTCAATTCTCGTCCATGGGAAGAAAAAATTGAAGCGATTTTTATTTATAGCGCGACGCGTAACTTCCACGACAACGAAAATATTTTCAGTGAACGTTTTCCGAATCCCCCTATCTGTAGAAAATATTCGAGGTAACTTGTATCCAAATTCACAACTACTGGTAGTGAACATAATAAAAAGCCCCCAGGTCATCCGTCCATTCCGGAAAAACAGCAAGTGCAAATAATTTGTGAGATGGTAGTAAATCCTGACTAGACTATACTTATTCCGTCGCGAATGTTTGTGAGGTGTCTCTTTCTACTGTGTGGAGACTTTTGAAGAGAAATAGGTATCATCCATACAAAATTAAAATGGTACACCAATTAACTGAAGATGACCCTGATTGAAAAACAGAATTCTGCGAAATCATGACGGAAACCATTGAAAGGCATCCTACGTATCACCACAATATTTGTTTTAGTGACAATATACATTTTTTTAAACGGCAATGTTCACAGACAAATTACCGTTAGTGGAGTGACACCAACCCTCACGTTTTCCGGGAAACACATACCCAATATCCAGAAAAAATTAACGTTTGGGCAGGAATATTGAGAAACCGTATTGTAGGACCTCTATTTATGGATCAAAATTCAACAGGGGAACTGTATTCGAATATGCTATAAACTACTGTTGACCCTCTCATAACTGAAATCGTCGACGCTAATACACGAATCCTAATGAATTCGAAATGGATATTGTATTCCAATAAGATGAAGCACCACCACATTACTTCAGACAAGTAAGAAACTATTTGGATACTACTTTTCCCGGTCGTTGGATTGGTCGTCGAGGTCCTACAGAATGGCCAGCCCGCTCGCCATATTTGACACCTTTGGACTTTTTTATGGGGCTATTTGAAGCAAAGGGTGTACGAAACTGAACCTCCTTCAATATTGGATATACGGCAGAGAATAATAAATATTTGTAGAGATATTGACGTTACTGTGTTCGAATATGTTCGGCGTGAAATATTGGATAGGCTGTTCATATATCAAGAAGTTCAAGAAAACCATTTCGAGCATCTTCTGAACTGACAGCCCGCTCGCCATATTTGACACCTTTGGACTTTTTTATGGGGCTATTTGAAGCAAAAGGTGTACGAAACTGAACCTGCTTCAATATTGGATATACGGCAGAGAATAATAAATATTTGTAGAGATATTGACGTTATTGTGTTCGAATATGTTCGGCGTGAAATATTGGATAGGCTGTTCATATATCAAGAAGTTCAAGGAAACCATTTCGAGCATCTTCTGAACTGACCTCAAGCTTATTACCTCATATGTAGTTAAATATCAACGTGTTTAGGCAATTATTAAAATTTCCGCCATTTTGTAGTAGTTGAAGATATTGACATTATATTCTAGGATTGTGAAGCATTTGTCAAGAGCTTCAAAAAGATGTGTCATAAGACTCCCCGTCCAGTCGCTATCTTGAAAGTTTCATCTCTCAATTTCACTTCAAAATAAAGTATTCATGTAGTAATTTCATCATCCCAAATTTCAATTTTTTTGATTGATCCGTTCAAAAAATAAAAGGAGGGGACATTAAAGAAAAGCACTGTATATCCAGCTTTTCCCCCAAAATATGGTGCATTATCAATATTTTGAAAATACTGCTGAAATTGAAGTTTTAATGAGTTACAAGTGGAAAAAATCCCATAAAATGTGCGGAATTCCATTTTCTGTTATAGTAAAACACAATTTCAGTATGTACTATTAAAATGATTTATTCATTTTTCAATGATAATAAATATATGGAGGATGTGTACATTGTTCATCCTGTGTAATAACTAAATGTATAACAATGCTATCAATATCACACTTCAAATTCAATATTCACTCTGAAGCATTCCTCTTCATTTATGAACTATAACGGTAAAAATATAACATTTCAATATTTAACATCGATAAAATTTATACAAACGATAAAACAACAATATAAAAAGTAAAACTCAAAGAAACTTATTAAATATCACACATTCGAGGCATCATTCAGTTTGATAGGTGCTGTTTCTAGAGTTAATTCATTATCTTCTTTATTAAAATGAACGGGGTTTGTGTATTCATGTTGACCAGGCTTTAGAATAGGATTTTCATCTTGAACGGTCCTTCCGAAATGAGGAGTATAAAATCTCATCCTGAAAAAAAAAAACAATGAAATCATTCATATGAACAAATGAACCCAAACTAAAGGTAACTATTCCATAATTCTTGAAGATGTTCGCAACTACCTAAACTGGTTTTTGGGAGGAAGTAGGTATTATTGTGAGCAATTGTGCTAGTTGTTGGAACATGCATAAGCGTATTGTTTTCCTCAACACCGTTTATCTGGAGCAGTTTCAACCTCCTGTGCCGATGTTTTCCAATTCATATGCAATCCCACTGAAACTGGGATATTTTCAATAATTTATTAGGATTTCTAAACGAATATATTTTATAGGAAAATATATGTATGCTGGCACTCTTATACATGTAAGTTTGTCCACGAATTTCTTTGAAAATATTAGTCGCGTTTGGAAACTGCGGGTTTTAACGAATTTGATTCAACTGTTTTCAAAAAAGTAACTGATGAATGTGTGATGGCTTGGCTTCGTGATAGGCACTGCGGGTATAAATTAGTGTCAGACGTGAAACATCTCATAACCTCAGTCAAATTCTAGAATCATCAAAATGACCGAAGCCAAACTGCCCTTACGACAAATTTCCGGCGATGACTGAAAATTAAATAATACTAGGTTGTTCCAATAGTTGTTTCAATAGGTTGTTTCAATAGTTTTGTCTGATTCAATGCCATGCATTTTTGTAGCTCCATATCTATTGCGAAATTTCATTCCGGATATAAGCCCTAAAGTGGTCGACCTTCAGTAATCCAGGACGAGTATTTGAGGATCCATCACAAACGGTTCGTGGGATGATGAAAGAAGTGGGCGTGACCTTTCATGCGGTTTTTGAAGGTTTAAAACGTATTGGAATGATCAAAGAGTCTGAAAAGTGGGTGCCCCACGATTTGAAAGATCAACGGAAATGGGCACGATTAGAGGTCTGTTCTTTGATTTTGAGCAACCAATACGACCTTTTTTGGGTCATCGTGTGATGAAAAGTGGATCCTCTACGACAATAGGAGATCAGGACAATTATTGGACACCGATGAGCCATCAAGACACTTCCCGAAGGCAAAAACCCACTAACAAAAAACTTTGGTTATTGTATGGTGATTCGTCTGAAATGACCCTCCCAGTACTGACGAGGAGCTAGTACTCCGAAACTGGTCGTCCCGACCAAATGGAATTAATTTCAGCTTTTCATAAATACGAAGTTACTTGCTACGAATTTTTCAATTGGAAGACATTGCACAGGTGCCTGATGGTTTCACTTAAGCTTTCGGCGCGACATTAGCTGGGTTAGTTGTTGTTTTTACCATCTGGTATCTGCCACACCTACCTACAAAGCCTTAGGTTCACATGAGAGGCAAGTGTGAGGTGTTTTCGCCTAAATTTGAGCATATAATTTGCACCTCTTCGGAATATATCCATCATTCTAACTTCCAGCCCGGACTTGTCTGCAGGTGGTGCAGTGGTACTTTCTACTGAATCAACTGCAGATAGAGCTTATGACTAGTTAGAAATATTTTATTGTTTGGAAGTTTCAGACGGTTCACTCCGTCTCGGTTAAAGCTAAGCATTGAGTTGGTGTTAAATTCATCATTAACTTACATTTAGTGTTTATGCCATTTATTCTTTAGGGATAACTTATTCGGTTATGTTTGTCTTTAATGGAACTCGATTGTGATATTGTTGCTCCTGAAGGAATTGGTAAAATGAATAGGCCTACAAATAAATTCTATCTTATATAATCTAAATATGTATTGCCTCTCAGTTTTAGAAAGCGTCTTAAGGTGCTAAATTTGTTTGAGTGTGTGGTTGCAAGGCAGCAGAATACGGTCAACGGTCACAGAATGTACTGTGAACGATAACATTTTGGAAACAGACGTGGTGCAGATGGTACAAAGTCATGGAACATCAAACACGCATTGAAATATTACAACCTTTATATCAGTTTTGAAATAATATGATGATTCAATGTTGCCAACTGGTGCAAAAAATGGTAACACGTATTGATATGAACTACTTTAATAAAGAATATTACTGGAGTTGAGTCCCAATACCAAACCGTTATTTTTAACACCAAGTGACTAATCTTCCTGTTGAAGATGATAACTTGGTGATTAAAACTAGTGGTTTGGTGTTGGGACTAAACTCCAGTAATATTCATTACTACAACAAAGGTCCCAGACAGTGCATCACAAGTACTTTAGGAAACTAATGAAAAATACCCTAGATCGAGTGTTTTCGTCAAAATACTTCACATAGGGAGTGTTCACACCATGTTATTTCAATAGATCTTGTTTACGATACTCTTCTTTCCAAGACTCATTTTCAGTTACCTCTGGAAGTTCTTTCCATGGTAACAAAGTATAGCCAAAAAAAAACCTTTCTGATGATTCTACTGAAAACAGAATCCACCAAAATTTATATGTAAAAGGATGCAGTGTTTCTATATTCTTGGTGACCTACTCGTACTTCTAATAATTCATAGAACTTCCTATTTTATTTTAGTACTTAGAAGATACGCCCCAGAAATTTTGTACTACCTACCGTACTACGGAACCAAATACAACATATGAGAAAAACAAGGACTCACCTGACATTCAAAGCTCCTGCATGCTTTTTCTTGATAAAGTAAATGGCTCCCAAAGCAAATAATATCACCAGAAGAGGTATCGTGATGGCAACAGCTACGGTACCCGAACTTCCCTCCTCGAGACCGGCCTGTGTCATCGCCACCGAGTGAACAGTATATTTTTTGTCGGACTCTGGGGTATTCTGAAATCATTGAAAGTCAACTGGATTAATCTCACTCGTAATTTTGTGGACTGGGTCGTCAATTTATTTGAAAAGAAATGAAGAAAATGGGGGATTTTGTAACAAGTTTTAAATTTGATTATGCTCAGCAGAGCAGTCTCGTACTGTAGTCGTTATAAAATGATCAAGGGACCGTGTCAAAATCTATAGGAATTAACCCACATAAAAATCTAAAGAAGTCCACAATGACGTCGTTATCCAACTGGAGAATATTCCGAAAAGTATAGTTCGAAGTATGTTCAATCGAACCTCGTACTTCCGAGATATATCTCTACGGGTAGAATCTAGCAGGCTGGATATAATCTTCCCGTTTCAGGATATGGGGCACAATATTCCAAAGAAGGTATACTTTTACGAGCTATACAAATAATTAAAAGTTGTCGAGGTGCGACCAACTTCTCAGTTTTCAATAGAGTTCGAAGTTTCTGGGGAAGTTGCCTTTGACAACAAAGTAATTATAACTTTGACACCCCAAAAATTAATCTACTCAGTTACTGGAACTGTGTGCAATGATATTACGATGCCCTTTTCCACTACATCAACCTTCTAGAAACTGAGCTCACAATACGATTGACTTTTCTAATATCAGGCCTTGAGAATTTGGGTCATAGTACCTACATTTTCAACTTTGATATAGGTCACTGATAATATTTTTTTTAAAATACATAGCAAATGTATAGCAGCTTCAATGGCTATAGATTACTCCAAAGCTTTCGACAGTGAAGTAGAAAATCAAGTGACACTCTATATATTGTGATCAGTTTAAAAAACCACAACTGATGTTTAACTATAAACTTGTTTTTCAGACATGTTCATTATAGTATGAACATTCCTGAAGAAGCTATTGAGTAGAGAGACACGTAATGAAGTGTTACTCTAAAACACGAAATACAAAACCGGTTTTGTAAACTGTGAAGTGGAAATCTCACATCAAAGTATTTTTTGATTATGAAATAACCCAAAAATTATTCATGAGGTACTTCAATAATAGAATACAACAAGTTCAAACTGAAGACTTTTTCAATTATTCACATTGTTTGAATATAGTGTTCCACACAGAATATATTTTTGAATAACCCACTTTCATCATAAACTAAAGGAAACATTAATACGTTTGCTTTTTTATCTGTCTGAAAGTTGGACTGAATTAAAAACCATCAGTTCAGATGACTTCGAAAAATTACACAATGGTTCAACACATCTTTTCGGAATTCAATAATGAGGAAGACATCATTCTACCAAGGACTCCAACAATTAGAGCAACTATTCTAACGGAGTGATCTGAATAGAGTCTGCAGATTACTACGAGGAAATATCGATATTTCACCTGTTTTTTCTCTTCATTTCGGATGATATTCACCTCACCTGGAACTGATAACTCCACGACGAATATCCTCTTACTTTGTTGGTCGAAGAGGACTACATCATGTTTATGAGTTTGTATCACCTTGAAGGTGGGAAATGAGATGTTCTAATATATACGGCACCTTCGAAATCGTAGGAGTGCCGAAGATGTTAATGAAGCACTTGGAGGGCCACTATGTCCGTGGATATAGGCTGATTCTATATATGCCGGACATACGGAAACCAACAGGACATAAGGGTCTCAAGGCATCTTTGTCAGATGAAACTTTCAAACATTTGACGAATAAGAACTGATTTCCAACAGGATATTACTCCGCTCGTATTGGATGTATCCTGTAGACCCATTATTATTTTTTATGAGCTATATTTATACAAGGAATTTTTTTTTGATAAAATAGTAACTTTTGAATTATCCACAAATTTGTCTGAAAACTTGGATTTTATGGATTTGTGGACTTAATTTCAATGAAACATTTCTCACCCCCACCCCACCGAAAAGGGGTGGCATCCACCCCAGGGTGCAAGCAACTTCCGTTATGGGTCAACTTTGAAGTAGAGGTTAAGTAGAACCTAAATCCAATTCCAAATCCGTGCTATTTATTTATCAGCAAGTTGAGCAATTTCTGCGTTGACTTAGCATGTGCAGATGTTGAATTCTGCTTTTTTTGTACTGAGTAACCTTTCAATAAAAGCATTTATTATCATTATTAGATATTTCGGTAATTATTTACATAAGACTCGTGAAAAATATGTGATATGTATGAATACAGATTAATATTCTACATAAAATTCTAGAGATGAATCTTTATATGGAATGTAGGATGATCAAACAAAGTTTCGGGTATAATCACAGTTGCCGGAGAGCCACCCTACATATTTCCCGTTTCACCCAATATATCATCACAATGGAGTGGCTGAGCATACCTCATTAATTTGACAACTTCCTGGTCCAGATAGAAGCGTTCCATCCTGGCAGAGACATTTATATCCAAACTGAGCTGGAACGCATAAGTTGGAGCAATTGTGGTTCTTGCAAGGATTACCCACACTCGGCTGAAGCGTCTCTTGTAGAATAGTGAAGAAATCTATTGCATCATTGTGAAGCCTGAAACTATCACATCTCAGAAATCCGTATAACCTGCAAACTGAAACAAATCCCCCATTCGTGGAATAGTATAATCGGTTCTCGAAGAACTTAAGCCCTGAGGATCGGGTGATATTGGAATAAATTGGAGTTTTGAAACTACCATCATAGGTTATCTTATTTATTTGACCCAAGTACATATCCATGTAGTACAATATCCTACTGTTGTGGTCAAAAGTGATGTCGGATACAAACCCTGAAAAAAAATGATAATAATGTTAATGTGTAATAATACCAGTGACGCATCAATAAAACATCAGGAAAATTGGCTAGCAGTTACTGAATATTTGAAAAAATTATAGGTAATCATCAGTGTGTATGCGGTAAGAAAATAACGGGTCTGATTTTCTGTGAGACAAACTGTGCAAGCCTCAAGGTCAAAAGGCCGAGTCGCCTAACAAACTCTCTATATATTTCAGCCTGTTGAACAACGCTAGCTTGATCGGTTGGGCCACATCCTTTGTTCGTGTGTCAACATGAGATTTCTAGTGGAGGTCGAGAAGATATCGAAGATGATCCACGCTCAGGATGTCTTTCAACTCCAAAAATTTACAAAAACATCGAGACAATAGGTAATCTCACCCGCAAAGATTGCTGTAGAATATTATCTTGAGGTTCTAGCCATTCCTTATAAGCAAGTAAGAAGAAAGAGACCAGAATTATGGGAGTATAAATCGTGAAAGCTTCATTAGAACAATGCCACAGCTACTAATGTTAGGTCGCTTTTGACCAAGCATGGAACATCTACCTCACTCACCAGATCTAGCAACGAGTGACTTTCATATGTTACCAAAAGTGAAGAAAACATTGAAAAGAACCAGGTGTGATATAGTGAAAGATATGAAGGAAAAAGCGAATATGACGTAAATCTGATTGCGTTACACCCAGCGATTAATTATCCGATTTCCCAAATCTTACACATCTTCCACTGGAGTAGTATAAAGTAATGGCTTCAGGTGGCCCCATAGGAAATAATCCAGGGGGTTTGAGTCGGTGATCGAACAGACCATAGGTGAATTCCACCTCGACCAATCCAGCGATCTCTGTATGTCATTGTTGAAAACTCTCGAGCCAATATTCTAAAAGGCTCTGGTGCACCATCGCGAATAAACCACATTGCATTTCTTGTAACCAATGGGACATCCTACAGAAACTGAGGAAGCGTTTGTTCCAAAAAGTTACGGTACACCTCGCCGGTAAGTCTTCCTGGCAGAAATACCAGTCCAATTAGAAAGTCACCTACAATTCCCACCCAAACGTTTAACGAGAACTGATGCTCAAACATGGTTATTGTGAAAATTCCTTATGGCATTTCTTGAGAAACTGAATTCATGGGTGAAAAGAATGGGCGTCAGTAATTGAGGGATTTGAGTCAATGTGCGCAAAATCCATTGACATAATGCAATACGTGGAAGAAAATCATCAGGAAGAAGTGCCTGAACTCGTTGTATGTGGTATGGGTACAAAAAGTAGTAGCTACGAATGTTAGATTTTTTATTACTTGGTAGGTCCAGATAGTTTTTTACTGAACTATGAAATAGCCTTTGTGGACATTTATGGATCAAATTCAAGTACATCACTAGTTATTGGCGACAAAATAAACAGAAGTGAAATGTATCACATTAATGGACGATACAGGGTGTCAATTTCAAAAGTAAGTACATTTTTTGTGTAGGATTCAATGCTTTTTAATGATTTTTAGGCAATGAACCTTCTACAATCTGAATAATAAATATCGCTGAATAAATATATATTCTGCTGAAGTGTAAAATGGCAAATTAAAATGTTCACTCTTATTGCGTAATATAAACCACTGAAGAGACTGTAACTTGTCAAATTCAAAAATTTTCAAAGTGAAGTGCTAAGAATAGGTATTGGAAAATTTGATATCTTACAATTGCATTGGGGCATTTTTTATTTTTCTGATTTTAAATTGATAATATCATATTATCTTGTTCTCGAGTTCATTTTATGTTAGTGTCAACAGTGATATGAATGAATATAACGATTCAAATGTGTGCCCAATTTCACCTAATTCGCTTGTGAGTGAGGAGGCATATGTCCACTTTTATGAACAGGAGAGAACGAAGCAGTACTTTTGAAGTGGTTTTTTTTGTGTCTCTTGTCTCTTAAATTCTGTTAATTGCTCTGTATTATCTATAATACTAACTTACGTCACAAAGCACAACCTAATGGAGATATCAAAAGTTGCTTGAAGAGATGAACAAAAAAAAAACCCATTTGATGCGGACTTTATGTGTGACACTGTATATCGTTTTCGTTCATGAGACAATTTCAGGAGCTAAATACTTGTACATGCATTTCAACGAGATGAATATAAACCCGAAAACTCACCATCTGTAGTTTTCATTATTTCCGTCTTCTCAGTTCCATCCAAGTTGCACCTGTAGATAACGTAACTGGGGGAATTGAACACGTACCAACTGTTCAAAGCATAAAATAAAAATTTGTTGACAGAGTCGACAACCAATCCTGCCACTTGTCTGCAACAAAAATTTTGTTAGAATAAATAATCACCGAATCTCAAATGGAGCGTTTATAGGATTTTACCTGTGCATGTCAACATCAATCAACTTCGCGCACTTTTCTTCGAAACTACAAATACTGATAGATTTCGAGTTGGTGTCCGTGTTGTAGTAATAGATGTTGTGAGTAGACCAATCAACAGCAATGTCCTGAGGTTGTCCAATATTCCTTATGAAATGTCTCGTTTTTGATGTCATATCGATTTTGTGAATCGTGGAAGTTTCCTCCATGCTGAAATAGATGGTTCTTGGATTGACAAGTACGTCTAGGCCAGTTATTTTTGGTGCAGGAGTGGCAAATACAACAGACAAGATATTAGTCAATTGCGAGAGTTCCCTTATTTGCCCATATTCACTGAAAATGAGCGACATCGGATTTCCTTCTGCTTTGCAAGATTTCTTGTCGGATCTGAAACCAAAAAAATCAACATTCGTTATGAATTATTTACATTCACAATATGTCTCTCTTTATTTTTTCACTTGGTTACATTAATTAATAAAATAACTAGCCAAAAAATATTTTCCTCTTTGGCACACATCAAATTATTAGTATTTAGACAATATATTGATGCACATATTTTTGAATCATGTTGAAGTCATGGTCATAGTAAGTTCAAGTACTTTTTTAACCAACAATAGTATTCGTTACCGACTTCGCCATCTACGCCAACTGATCTAAAATAGTTGTTTGTAGTTTTCCTTTTTGATTCATATCAAGACGCTCTGAAACATTCAAAATTTCCATTTTTGTATATTTTTTCACTTGGTTACATTAATTAATAAAATAACTAGCCAAAAAATATTTTCCTCTTTGGCACACATCAAATTATTAGTATTTAGACAATATATTGATGCACATATTTTTGAATCATGTTGAAGTCATGGTCATAGTAAGTTCAAGTACTTTTTTAACCAACAATAGTATTCGTTACCGACTTCGCCATCTACGCCAACTGATCTAAAATAGTTGTTTGTAGTTTTCCTTTTTGATTCATATTAAGACGCTCTGAAACATTCAAAATTTCCATTTTTGTGCTCTTCTTTTCCATTTTTTCGATTCCATAGGAAACACTATAGCCTCATGGGCTTATAGCATTTCCACCAATATTTTTCATGATACCCACTCCAATAGTCTGGTTGTACCTACTAGTTTGTACAATTACTTGTTGAATGATTGTCATCATTTTCTGGAAATACCTTATGCTTGCCATACATTGTTAGACCCCTGTGACCCAGTGTCTCACATGCCACATAACATGACGAGCTATCTCTGTCCCTTTGTTGTTTTATCTATAGCCTAGGTGATGCTTTTGCAGCTTTTTTTTTCAGGTGTGTATGTTCGCGGGTTATATTTTCCTACTACTATTTATGTTTCTTACAGACACACTCCTAAATCTGATCCCTTGACAAATATTTTGGTACCCCCACCACTGATTGGGGGTCGATATATGGAGTTGTTGATCTTACGTTTTCATTGCCTACGATACCTGAGTGTCGGTATAACTGTTTATTTTGCTCTGTTCACGATTTATGACTTCGATTGCTAAGTTTGTACCGAACTTGTATTTCGGCGTTGTGGTCCAAGAATCTTTTCAGATAATTTTTCTCCACCATTTCGAAATTTCTGCTTTATTCAATTCATTGTTACTCGATGAATTTTCCCGTCTAAAATGGCTCACTCTTACCTCCCCCTCTTACCTTACCTCATACTAGATGTGAACGAGGGAGTTTCAAGGGTGTCTCCAAGGCTGCGTGCCCATCATTCCCAAACTAGCGGTCGTCTGCTTCATCTTCGATCACCAGACCATAGATGTTATATCAAGAGTTTATCCACCATACAGCATGTCTGGTTTCAGCCCCATGTCTTTCGGTAAGTGCCTCTGGCCAAAATTAATGCTACCTCTGCCTTTTTGTTACTCAGGTCAACCAAAGATCTAGTATCATCCTCAGATATTTCACCTCCCCGACAAATTTATTTATTCATCTCCCGGTGGACGATCTATTTTCGCTGGTTATCTTCCAAACAGTGCTAGGAATCGCACGTCGAAAGGTGAAATCTCGTTAATAATTAGCTCGCAAAAAGGTTCGACTTTTGAGGGCTGCTACTATGGCCGATTTTCTTTGTTTTGTGTTCAACCCTCCTTCCTCGGTCCAACTGCTGGATTCATCCCCTTACTATATTATTCTATTTGCCTTGGCTAGGATGAGTGAGTCGTCTTTATATCCCTTATGTTCCAGAAGACGTAGCAACTCATACATTACACGGTTCCATAACAATAGAGACAACTCACCTCTGCCTGAGGTCAATCACCTGCAACCTGTTCAGAGTAGACCAAATTGGACACTTTCAAAGGGAAACTCCTGTTTACAAACTAGATAGACGAAATCTGATAGATGTGTCCGCGGATCTAATTTTATGGCAAACTTAATGGTGAAAACCGCATATCGACATCTATCATCGTTTCTGAGTTACAGGATGTTTTTCGAAAATATGCATTTTCGAAAAGTTTCTGTAACTTTTTTCCTCTGAAAACTTTTTGTTTCTATGAAAACACTTTTTTACGTAGAATTCAATGGTATGAAAAACTTATTTTTTCAAATGAGATATCAATAGTTATCGATGGAAAACTATTTTTTTATTGAGACACCCTGTATATTCCTGCATATTTCAATACCTTTCCAAAAATGTAATGCTAGAGTCCTCTTTGAAATACAGAGCTTTCAAGTTTTTTCATGTAGACTTTGAAACGCACACTTTGATCAAGTAGGCTTTGGACGATGCGGCGATAAAACAGAATGCAAACCTTTACTGGTAGCTGTAAAATTCTGATTTGAGCACCAAAGACACTTTTCAATCATTGGTTTCTGTTTTATTTTCAAACACATCCGCGAAGAAGTATAGGAATTATAAAAAATGGGATATAATAGTCTGGGATATAATAGTTATACAAACTGGGAAAAATGAAGAAGCAGCAAATAATTTGTACCTATCACGATAGGTATCCAAAGAGAAGACACTCCTACTGAACTAATAAATTAGGCAAAAAACGTTCAGAAAATGTGTCACCTATGTGTAGGAGAATCTGGTAGACATTTCGAACACTTTTTATGAAGAAATATATTTCATTGTTTGTTCTTTACCATTAATATTATTATTGTTAAAGTTTCATTTATAAGTAGTAAATCTAATATATAAAAATGGATGTTTGTTGGTTGGTTGGTAAGTGATAAACTTCTACATCGCTCAACCGATCGTGTAGGTAATTTTTCATAGAGAAGGTTTTTAGGCTATCAATTTTTCTGTAACTCGCCACTAGATGGCGCTGTAGAACAATTTTTTGAAACCACTGTTCTATAACGCTGCGCGCCTAAGTTCGTTGATTCTGATTCTGTCAAAACATTGGAACAGCATCTATACAGCAACATAGTACTAGTATAATATAAATTGTCATCAATTTTATTGAAACTATGCGTTTCAATTAGGTTCTGCTGTGAAAGGCTTTCTCAATATTTGATAACTACTACTGAATAATTTCTTTCTGTTTTACTATCGCGTCGGCGTCGTTTAGAGTGGTCAAAGTGTGCGTTTTAAAATATACATGAATTAACCTAAAATCTCTGTATTTCAAAGATGACTCTAGCAATATATCAAGTGAGCTACATTTTTGGGAAGGTAATTCTAAGCTCTATTGAAATATGCTATTGAATATACAAGGTGTTCCGTTGAAAAAAAAGTTTTCCATCAATAACTAATTACCTATGAATTATTATTATATAAGAAAGTCATACCAAAGGTATCAGATCAAGAAAATTAAAATGATGGTGCTTTAGTAGGAATATTTTTCGAAAATATATGTTGTGCTTTAACGAAATCACCTCAGACTCGGATTTACTTATACTGATATACTATATTTGTTTTTGATTATTGAAGTCATTATTATTTTAAGTTGCCTAAAATGGCATACATAACACGAATTCCTATCTTTCGATTGCGACGATAGTTAATCCAGTAGTGTAAATTCTTTTTCCAGTTTAGATTTTCCTGGGAGAAGTGAAAATATTCTCAGACGACGTATATTTGATATATTGAGGATATACTCGTGATACACAAAAATAGCATGAAAAATATTGGGATTTTCTGAGAAATGAGCTTGGCTGATATGTTATAGAGCACCTCTCAGAAAAAATGATATGTACATTGACAGAAGCGTCTATAGAAATATCTATATGAATTCCATTACACAAAAACAACTAATTCATTGTTGCACTTTCAGGTGTTACATTCATTTTAATATTATATATAGCCATATGGTATTTTTGAATGAAATGTAATGTACCTCAGTAAAAAGCCATCATAACAATCGCATTTGAAACCGCCGTCCTGATTGTGGCAAATTTGACTGCATACTGGTGGATGATTCTGGCATTCATTCAAATCCATGCAGCTGACCCCATTGCCCATCAATATGAACCCAGATCTACACTCGCAAGACGGTCCCATTGGAGTTTTATTGCATATTTGAGAACATCGATTGGCTGATCCTTCACAGGAAGTTGAACACAGTCCATCCTCATCAGAACCATCATAACAATCGTGATTTCCATTACACACCAGTTTCATATCCAAGCAATCTCCATTTTTACACCTGGAACATTTAAAGGGATCTTATCGATTGTTGGGGTAATCTTGAAATTGATAATAATACGAAAGTTCATTTATGAAATCTGGTAAGTGGAATAAAATATTTAATTATAAAAAAGTCTTGATAATAGTGAACATATTGTTTGGGTTCAACTAGATAATGTTTCTTCTGTTTTATGAATAACGGCACATGTGCCTTTTTTCGAAATTTGGAACTTCCAAACTATTAACAAAACAAAATATCCTATGAAATATTGATTCATCAATGAAACAACAAAAAACAACTCTTAAAAAATGTCTTATGCAAATCTGTGCCTAGACAAAAAATATGTGAAATGTGTAGGATAGTCTCAAACATTTTCTTTTTTTATTTTTATCTGCTGAATCAATAGTTTTTATGGAGTTATAATTAGATAACTTTATTACATAGTTTTTTTTTAATCTCCCAGTGAAAATATGTTACAACTGAATTTCTATCTAGTGTTTTTTTATTGCGAACGAGTGAATCTGGAATATTTTGAGTATATATTTTGACTGAAATCATTATTTCAAATAAATTTCGAATAATTATACGTTTTATTTTTGAATAGTTTGAATGAACAACTATAACACGTTTCTACCTACTTTCTGAAAGGTGACGGAAGAATACAACAGGGACTTTCAAACTTTGACAACTGATAACGACCATCTTGTTGAAGCTGCATCTGTCCCGAATAAAGAGGACTGGATCCTCCGGGAGAAGAAAATATTGAGAGCAGATAGTTGTTGCTTCACAGATGAATCAAAAACACCTTCCGGTTCTGGTGCAAGTGTTTTCAGTCGCACCCAGGACAGAGATATCAAACTCCCTAGGAACCTATGTGACTGTATTTCAAGCGGAAATTTACAATATTGAATTATGTGGGGAGAGATTGGAATAATCCAACCTCATACACAAGTCAAAAAAAATATTCTCGGAAAGTCAAGCGGTTGAAAGCTCTTGGCTCCTACCGAGCAACGTCTAAATTGGTGGCAAATTGCCAAAAACGACTCTCCTCGATAGGAAGACTTAACAGATTGTCTCTGGTCTGGTTTCCTGGCCATACTGGCCTGGAAGACAATGAGGCTGCTGAATCCCTTTCGAAGAAGGGTGCTGCAACCAGCTTCATCGGACCAGAACCTGTCATTGGTATCGCGCTTCAGGCTTTGCCAAACAAAGATTGAACACCTGGATGGCAAGAAGATTTGTGGACTGCCGACAAAATCTTCCAGGAGTGGCTCACTCCAAGGCGTTTATTCACCCTTCGAAGCTCGATACCAAACAGTTGTGTGATTGGACTACAGTAGAAATGAACTACGATGTCTAACAGGCCTTCTTACAGGTCACTGTTAATTGAATTATCATATGCAGAGACTTGGACTGTCGGAAGACAGTGTGTGTCACCTCTGTTTGGAAAATGATGAAACAGCGGAGCACATACTTTGTCTCTGCCCTGCTGGAAACCGAATCAGGTCTTTAGAGTTCGACAGAGCCGTACTCTTACCATCTGACCTGAAAGACCACTCACCATACAAACTAATTGGCTCCGTCAAGAAGCTTGGTTTATTTGGTCAAGTGTGAATAGGTGTTAGCCAAAAAAACCTTTACGGGTTGCGGTGGAGGGTCTAATAGACTTATTTTACGGACGTCATAATCGTCCTACCGATTGGCAATGTGGTGGATAAAGGACCCCGCACTAATCTCATGGAAAACCGGTTACGGTGAAAATCGCTGAAATTACGCTAACTCTCTGAATGCTGGCGTTTGAATTCCAGATGATTTTTCAAAAAATTCAGAAATAGCTATTTGACATGTTTTTCTTCATGAAGAAGATGTGACGTTCGAGCTAGTATTGATCGGATATCGCATACAAAGTAATTTACTTGATTTTGATAAGCCATGATGACTTGGGAATATTCCAATATGAGATACTAACTAAAAATTACCAATAACAAAGTTTAACCCACTGTATACCCACCAGTTTTGATTCTAGAAACTTTTGCCATTTGAATTTTTAGATTGTTGACTATTCCATTATAAAATTCAGATAGATACGACGAAAATTAAATTCTGGATTATTGGAAAAACCGTCAAAGTTGTACCCCAAATGATGAAAGATATTCCTGATGTTCCATCATAAGTCCAATACTTAAAAAAAGTTACACCAAATCATATCATAGAATTATGACATAAAATAAAAAATTAACAAAGTAGTGGAGGTGATGAAATACCTACTTCACTAATGAAAGAGAATATGGTTTACATAAAAGAAGTTCTAGCTTATATCATAAACAACTCTTTGAAATTTGGGATATTTCCTAAACAACTGAAGCTGCTTTTGGTGAAACCGATTTACAAAAAGGGTAATGTGGAAGTGATGGAAAATTACAGACCCATAAGTATACCACCAAGTTTTGCGAAAATATTTGAATTGGCATATTGTACACAATTAATTGACTCTTCAATGAATGCAACATGTTTAGTAAAAAATCAACATGGGTATATCCAAGGAAGGTCAACAATGTTGGCCATTTTTCAGTTCACTCAAAATATTTTATTTTTATTGAAAAAAAGTCACTAGCCTTGGGAATGTTTTTGGATAAATTACATCCCTCACAAATATGAAACTAGGACTAGAAATATCAACTACCCTGTTCACAGACTCACGGTAACTGAAAATAGCCCACAATACATGCTCATTAGATTGTTCAATAAATTACCAGATAGAATAAAAGCATTGGTCAGCATCAATAAATTCAAAAGAGAAATAAAAAAGATACTTATAATATTGCGAAGTATTTTAATCATAATTTTTTAAATTATCTTCATTTATGCATCTTATATTTCTATTGATGCAAAGATTATTGTGTCTTGTAAACCTCAGTGACGTCATTTCATTATATGTTGTCATTATATGTTTATTGTATTGTTGATATATTCTGAAATAAAGATTATTATTATTATTAAAATATCAAACTTTGACGCCCTGTAGAATGCAAACGCCAGCATTCAGAGAATTGGCATTGGATGCATCATATTGAAATTTCAGCGATTTTTACCGAAGTTGGTTTTCCATAAGTGCGGGGTTCTTTTAAGTCTACTAGTTCAGTAAACGATCGACGGAAACACGTACGTCAACGAAATGTAAGATCTGCCACTGTCTGTGAGAGTGTGTGGGATAATCCCAGGCAGTCAAATTCGCGTCACTCACAAGAACTTGGCCTTTCGCAGACCACGATTTTTTTTTATAACCAACGGCACCAAGCACTTGTTGCTAATCTGGTAGAACTCCATTACTGAATTAGCTTTGAACCCTGTTTAGGTCATCTTCTTTGCTCGAATATATTTTATGAAATTCCCATGGTAAGCTCAAAATAAACCTGTAATTTCCGTAGCTTCGGTTGTTATTTTTTTCTCGTATTTTGCACAAAACTCTCTCATTATTTAAAATCATTGGAAGGAACACTTCAAAAATATTCCGTTAATTCGAGAGAACTCGATCAGGGTACAATTCGGTAGAGTATTTTTTTGGTGTCTATGGCTGAGGTAATTACCCTCGTGTTTCGGGGTAGGCTACATCTATAACCACCTGTGTTATCTAGGGAACATCCTGATTATTCGTAGTTCTTATAAAAAAGATATTTCACTTCAAAAAGTCAAAAAATATGTTACTTGCATCCTAATGTGAATAAGTACAAAAGTATTAATAGTTCACCAATGCTTCTGAATTCTCAATAATAATAAAGTTACCACTTGATATTTGTTTCAGAACTAATCACTTCTGGACCGCTACTAACTAAAATTTTTGAGGTACCTGTAATAATATATTACCTATTGATGGTTATTTTTGAAACAAAACGTGTCAATTGTCAAACATGTTACTGAGAAGTATGTTTCGAAGTGGAAACTGGAAATCGAACACTCTGACCATACATTTTCCAATCAATTATATTCTTACTCCTGTAGTAATTGAAACGAATATTGAAGTTGGTCGCAACTTTTCAAGAGTTACTTTCAAGTTCTGATAAGTCGCCGGATGAAGATGAAAATCACAGAAGTCACCTGACATTGAAGAATTTCACAAACTGACGATACATTTATTTATTATTTTTCCCTTTAGTTTGTTATTATGCACATTCGATGAAACAAATGAAAGGGTGATTGAGAAAGAGGCGCCAATTTTTTTTTAGATGAATATAGCTTTGTGTTGTTTGAGGGTAGATGAACATTTTGGTTCATAAAAACCTCAGTTCTTTATGTCAAGTGTAGTTTTTCATTTATAATATTTTTTGAATGAGAAGACAAAAGAATTTGTCATTATTCCACAATAAATGAAACTTCAGTTGAAGAGAACGAGTAAAACATAAACAAGAATTCTTTAATAATGTTAGTTTCGAAGTTTTTTACTTGATTTGCATTAGGTTCACTAGGTTTTTATGTCTTTCTTGATAATTGACCAAATATATCTGTTTTAACTTATGTAGTTCATTGTTTTCATTACCAAATTGACACAATTGATAATAAAGGAAACTGTTCAGTCCTAAAATGTACCTACATGAGTCATCAAAACGTCTACCTTGTTTTCAGAAAATGTNAAACTGGTACACTGGCGGAATTGAAAAATGTTTATCAGCTTCTATCTTTTAATAAAATGGGGGCTCTATAGCATTTTATACAGATAAATTTAACTTGTTGACCTGAGGAGCTTAATTTCTGATTCAGTTGAGTTATGAAACGTATGTTTTGATACGAATTGGACAGTTCCAAATGTATATTTCATCAGATACTATTGAACGTTTTTTTAACATTTAAAAAAGATGGTATTATAAGTATATTATACATAAGTTTTTTTTATTGATTCGGCCGTTTCTTGATGAAGATCTATAGTAATTTCACAGATTACACCTCACGATTTGATCTCCACAAACTTTATTTGAAAAAATATATCACATATTTCGCTAACACAGTTACGTGTGGTATATGAATATTA